ATGGTGCTTATGTTTAAATTAAAATAGCACTTGAATTAATTCTAATTAAGTATAATGACTTAGATGTCTGTATTTCAACCTAACTACTACATGATGCAGAGTAGATTTATTTTTAACTCTCGGGTATAAGTGAAGCAGGATCTGTTCCTCCACTTTTGCAGGTGCCATTTGAGCTACTTAGCCAAAATTACATTTGAAGATTATTAAATGATAAGTGAGTCTCGGTTTCGGATTTGGTTTATTCTGTTAAGATCTTTTTTATTCATATATTTAAACACTTACCAATCCAGGTCACCAAGGTATGTGATGCTCTAGGCAAGTGTAGCCTATAGTTTTTGAAGCTTTTTTAGTACATGGGCACTTGCACAGGAGCCCAAATGATCATCAACTCATCATAATAATGATAAATATAATTTTCTGGCCTATTAATGGCATATCTATTGTTGGTCATGTAGTCAGATAATTGACACATTTCTTTCTTCAAGTTTTGTTGGGGCCGCTTGATCTCTAGGTTATATGGTTAGTGAATAGTCCTCGGTTCCTTCAGCAAGAATCACAGCAAACACTGGGCAATTTACAATGCTCTTTTGGTCTTGCATTGTTTTTGCTGCTTTGATCATTCTACAGAATTGAGATTGGAGGGATCTTCATAATCCCCTAATATTGTCAGTGCCTTCAGCAAGAACCACACAATACAATGGATAATTTACAATGCTCTTTGTCTTGCATGGTTTTGGTGTTTTGGTCATTCTACAAAATATGATATTAGAGAATTCTGTAGTGTCATTAATCTCCCTAGGGATAACAAAACATGTAAATGTTCTCAGGTGTGTTGTATATGTTCTCCTAGGCTTCGTATGATAAGTTTTGCATATTTTGTCATGATGAAGCTTCCAATTGTCTCTCAGATGTGGATAACCCTTAAAATGTTGAACGTTAGTTAGGAAGGATTTGTGTTGAACACTAGTTAGGAAGGATTTGTAATTATCTTTATTTTTGGCAGGAGCCAAAAATTAAGTCTTTCCTAGAAAATGGATGAGAATCTCTATTTTAGAGGTACAGTATTTCTGAACATTGATCACCAAAATGATTGTACTTGTTAAACTTGAGTGTTAATCTTTTCATGTTAGTGACCAATACGTTTTTAGTTGTGATTGAAGAAATGAAACTGTCACTGAAAGAATATAGGGAAGTGTCGGATTTGTAATCTGGTTTAAAAAATGCAGCCAAAATAGAGTTCAGTTACTTGAGATAGTTGAACATGAATCTGGAGCTTACTTTGGCTATTTTATTAAATTACATAGCACAATTATAATGCTTTTATCTGGTCCTCATTTGTGTACTTAGGTTTGTTTTTAGCAGCTGATTTTTATGTCATATCAGAGAGGAATGAACGCTTAATGATCTACTTCAAGCCACTAGGTCATAAGCCTGCTATTGATAATTGTGAAGGTAATATATGTCTGTTATTTTGTTTGAGCAGACAATCATAAGAATTAGACGAAGAAAATATTTCTATTTTTTCCTTTACAACGCTTTTGTTACAGCTATTTTTTACTTTACTATTCCCTGAGCTCAGTTATTACATGTTTCCAGTATTATAAAACAGATCTCTCTTGTTTATAGATCATACCGACGTTAGACGGTAAAATATTTCATGGTATTGCTCTGCCACTTAAACACTGATATCTTGTCAAACAGTCATTATAGATTTTAGTTGACTCTTTTGCTTTTTGTAAGGCGATCTGCTGAAGAAAGCGATGGGAATTGTTACCTGGATACCAGCAGTGAGGGCAGCAGTGGGAGTGAAGAGAACCAATCAAGAGAAAGAAGCTCATCCGTGGGCACTGCCAATCACATTGGCCAAGGAGGCTTTGTAAATGATAATACTGAGGTTTGCCCCAAGCCAACTCTTCCGATATTTGAGTACTTTGAGAAGGATACACCGTATGGAAGAGAACCATTGGCTGACAAGGTAAGTTTGGTCTTCTTTCGTTAACATTTTGAAATATCATGTACATCAAATATTTATTCTTTTTTGCTGATATGTGGCTGTAGATATCGGTTCTTGCAAATAAATTTCCTGACCTGAAAACATACAAGAGCTGTGATATGCTGCCATTAAGCTGGATGTCTGTTGCCTGGTATTGTTTCAGTGAATTTTGGGATCACTGTTAATCATGTTTCTTCAACTGCCAATTTTTGTGGAAGCTATATGCTTGGAGATGTTTCATTAACCTCCTTCCAATAAAATACATTATTTTTTTTTATGATGTTTATGCTGCAGGTATCCAATATATAGGATACCAATGGGACCCACATTAAAGGACTTAGATGCTTGCTTTTTGACATTCCACTCACTGGCTACTCCTAGCGGTAAGCATCTGATTGCTACTTAATGCATTTGCACAAGTAGAAGCACATCTTTGTTTCATATTTATCAAAGAAATTAAATTGGAGAACCATATAGCATCACAGAGAGAGAGAGAGAGAGAGAGAGAGTCATATGAACACTGAAATCTGAAGTTGGTATATACAGGAGTGATTTCTGTTTGAAGTATTTCAAGTTATTCGACTTGTTTTCTATAAAGGACTATGCACGAATGCACTTTTTTATTTATTAAACCTTGGTGCCAAGAGAACTTCATATAATATGTTAAGAACCATCCCCTGAAATAGTGCAGGATTGGGCTACAGTTCATTACTGCCATTGCTAGCAGTAGGTAAACAGTTGTCAAGGATGTTAGGACACACCATCAGAGTCACTATTACAACTTTTTTTATGCCAAATAAATGAACAGATATATTGATCTATATAGATACATTCATGTTGTTGTTCATAGCTTGGAATAAGATAACTTTTCTTGGCATTGGATTAAGATAACTTGAGCATATCTTCCTTGCATTATGTTTTCTCTGTTTGATTTTTTTTTTCTTTCAAGAAATGGCATGTATTACAAGTGTTTTGGTAGCATCATATTTTTCTTTCAAGATTTAAAGAATGTCGGGACTCATAATTAGAGGCTGTCATAATTTTTGGCTAGAGGCTTCTCTATCATATTTTTCTTCCATGTGCTGTATCCCATCCCTTGATAGTAGAATTTTGGGAACTATAATTAACAAGAATGTATTAGCAGTTGAGGGGATATGTCAGCCAGTCCATCAAGCACTTCTATTATTACATCGCTACATTGTAGAAATTTGTATAGAGATGCTACTGCAAGTGCTATGGGTTCTCTTTCCCCCTTCTAATAGTGTGCTCATTTCTGACAGATAACGCCAGTCCACCTTCGGAGGTTCTTCACTCTTGTACGAGTCGGAATGGCAAGAACTCCAATGACCGGCCTGTGAATTTGTGTTTGCCAGTCTTTGGACTGGCCTCATATAAATTCAGGGGGTCTATTTGGACATCCACTGGTCTGCAAGAGCAGCAGCTAGCAAGCTCACTATCGCAGGCTGCGGACGACTGGCTTCGCCATCTGCAAGTCGATCATCCCGACTACCGATTCTTTCTCTCCCACTCCAACACATTTAGGAGGTGATCTTATATTAACATCGATGTCTCTTTCTAATTTAATGTGCATCAATCCGAGTCTCTGTTCCGATCTGGGACTCAAAAACACCCATAGCACATAGATTTTGCTCAATGTATCTTGTTGTTTCTTATCCCACAAATTAGTATGTTTCTTTTGGAACGGCACATGGACGCATGTAACTATATCATAGGAAAGAAAATTAATTATTAGAAAACAATTTTTGTAACTTCTACTAGACTTTGGGGTTGTGTCGGCGTGTTGGATTTATTATCATCTTTTAACAGGATTGTGATGCATGTTGGTGGATGTTTCTGACAGGCACCCTTTGACAATTCTATCTCTGTGGCTTGTAGTTTATGCTTGATTTGCTTTAGAGTTTTTTGTTAGAATTCAATCCAAATTTAGATGGGTAAATTCTTCAAAAATATTAATAAGTTTTTATTATTATTTTTAGAGCAATCCCTTTTCTTACTTTATTAATGCATAACATCCTTCCTAGCTATTTTTTCGCTTTTAGCTTTCGTCATATCGTGGTTATTTGTCGTTCATCGCTTTCACCCCCTTGTGATGTCTCCACCCCACTACCTCCTATGGTTATTGTCTTTGTTGTGCCCTCACGGTGGTCGCTTTGACCTCCGTTATTGTTATTCGTTATTGTTGTTGTGTCACATATTTTTTTCGTTACATCACTCCACTGGTAAAAGCCTTCCTCCATTGTTGTTTGGTTGCCACTAACTGCAAGGGCACCTCCATGGACGAGGTTATGCAGGTCCATGCTGCCCTCTTTAGAATGCCACGCCAGGTCGATGCTAGCGATAGGGGGAGAGGGTGTCATAGGCAATGTGTGGATCCACACGAACTTGTTTGCAAAGGGTACTCCTGTGACTAGTGGCAATCACGTCCAGATGGGATGGCACTCGAGTGTTAAACGATGGTACGTGTGATCTTGATCTCTTGGCTATTGGCGTGACATGACGAAGGAGGTTGATGTGATGACAATAACGAACAAGGTCGAGAGCGTGCTTGAGGGTCTTAGTGGTCTCCACGAGGATGCGATAAAGGGGGTGATCGTAGGAGACGAAGGAGGTTGATGTGATGACAATAACGAACAAGGTCGAGAGCATGCTTGAGAGCCTTAGTGGTCTCCACGAGGATGCGATAAAGGGGGTGATCGTAGGAGGTGAAGGAAAGCGATAACACGATAGGATGAAGATAGTTCTAACATGAGAAAATAAAGAATATTGGAATCTCATAAAAAAGAGTGTCAGATTTATAATGGAATCGGACCACCTAATTTCTTAAATGAACTTGATTTGGTTCGTGAATCATTAGTCCTCGAGCCAAACATGAGCGAGAAGTGAAGGTTTGGGTTCGCTTGTGGGGACCCAGTCAGCTCACTATTGGAAGGCTGCCACGTGGTCAACAAGAGTTGACGATCAGTATGATAACCAACTGACGTGACGCGCCGCGCCGATGCCTTCAATCTTGTTGGATAACCGACGCCGATGGAGGGCCCTCCGGTGCCGCCGCGGCAGCAAACCCTCGTCGCTGCCATCGACATGGGCACAAACTCCTTTAAGCTACTGGTGGCTCGTGTCCTCCCCCGCGGCCACCTCCTCGCCCTCGCCCGCCTCAAGGAGCCCGTCCTCCTCGGCCGCGGCCGCGCCGCCGATGGCTCCGTTGCCCCCGATGCCCGCCTACGTGCCGTCGCCGCCCTCCGCTCCTTCTCCCTCGCCCTCCGCGCCCTCGACGTCCGCCTCGCCCGTGTCGTCGCCACCGCCGCGCTCCGCTCCGCCCCCAACCGCGACGACCTCGTTACCGCCGTCAGCGCCGAGCTTGGCTTCCAGGTCGACGTCCTCTCCGGTGAGGAGGAGGCCCGGCTCGTCTACCTCGGCGTCCTCCAGTTCCTTCCCCTCTTCCATAGAACCATTCTCGTCGTCGATATCGGTGGGGGTTCCACCGAATTCGTGGTGGCGAACAAGGGGAAAGTCCTCTACGCTACCTCTCTTGATCTCGGACACGTTTCCTTGACCGAATTCCACGAGAGACATGGAAACTTTGGAGATCTCCGCAGCTACATCCGTTCCGTTCTCAACCAATCGCCGTTGGTGGACAAGGTCAAGGAACTAGGGTTTGAGATTGCTGTCGGTTCATCAGGAACAATCCGTTCGATCGAAAGGTCCATATTTCTTGATGGCTTTGATGAATCTATGAGAAGAGACTTTGGCAGGGAGTGGAGGTTCAGTAGAGATGAATTGGGGCTTCTTGTTGAAAAGCTTACTAGTCCGAATCCTAGTGAGGTAGAGAGAGCAAAAAGATTGGGATTTCGAAAGAGGAGAAGAGAGTTTATTGTTGCGGGTGCTGTGCTGTTATTGGAGATCTTTGAGACTCTTGGAATTGACAACATTGAGGTCTCTGGGTATGCTCTCAGTGAAGGGGTCATTTCTGAGATGCTCACAAATGATCGGATGGACTATGATATTGGTATGAATGCTCGATGGCGGTCAGTAGTAAGCCTAGCCATGAGATTCGATGGGGACAACAGGATGAAATCTGCTTTACATTGTGTTGGCATCGCCAAGGTATCATCCATCCCTTAGCTGATATTTGGTCTAATGCAATAATTTATATAGTCACTGTGATTTTGTTGGCAATAATCTGCATGCTTGTGGTTTTTATGCCATATAATAGGAACTTTTTGATGGCATTAGAAGATCGGACGAGCTCGTTGATGGCAATGCACGGTTGCATGAAAAAGATTTTGAGTATATGGAAGCAGCTTTATTGCTTCATAATATAGGATTATTAATGGGCATGAAAGGATACCACAAACGTTCGTACAAGATAATCAAGGTACTTTCCTTGAGACCTCATTTTCTCTTATAAGTTCCTGTCCTATGCTAGTGAGTTAACAACACATAATGGTGTTATTTTGTTGCTTAAAATCATACTTTGGAACTTGAACTTAAGATGGATAGTGTTACTTTGTCAAAATATCACAGAAAATATGGGAACAAAACAATTTGCTTCTTAATAAGCTTTTGTAAAGGCTTGCAGAGTTAAAGGGGCTCAACCTTGTTCTGTTGGCTTCTTACTGAGCTAACTAAAGGTCCAGGATATCTTTTGAGCCTTTTTCATTCTACACAAGGACTGGATGAATTTGTTCTATTCAAACAAAGGACATATTAGGACTGTAAATCCGAAAAATCCAACTGGATTTGAAAGTCAACTCAATCTAGTAGACTTGCAAAGTTAGCCAAGTTCTGAGCAACTTGCAAATCCAACAATAATAGTAATTAATAAATTAGGAGGTGCATCATTTAGAATCTTACACTATACATGCTTCCATGTATTAATTTCTGGTTTCATGTGACAGAAAGTTTCCATTTAGCATGGCTGGAAGGATCATAGGTGATTAAATTTATGAAGGGCCTTGCTTTGAACTTAGAAGGATATATAACTTGAGTACCTGCAAATATCTTATAGTACTCAGACTTGTATTCATATACTCCATTCATTTTTCAAGGCATGCTGAGAAACACTATAAAAAGATTGATGAGGGACGAATTCCATCATATGCTTACTAGAGTCTAAAAATTGACTATTCACTGATGCAGCATGAGTGTGAGGATATGGTAGACGTGGCATGGCAAGGTTCAAAAGCAATTGATAAAATCTTCACTAAATAAGTTTTACAACTTGAGCCCAAAACGCGGTGGGCTGTGCTTCCAAAAGGAGTACCCTGAGAGAGGTATGAGTTGTAACTCATGTACTAATCAAAGCCTAGCCTATGACCAATGTTGGACTAATTAATTAGGGTATTGTAATCTGATACCATACTCATCCAAACATGAACCAGAACCATGGGGACCATTTCTTCCAACAAGGAGGTCTCAAGAGTTGTAACTCATGTACTAATCATGGTCTAGCCATCTAGCCCAGAGACGATGTAGGACTAATTAGATCAGGGTTTTGCAACAAGTTTTTTGACTATGAGTGGTTGTATGCGCTAGAGTACATATATATGTCATCTTCCATGGTACTTATATTGGGGAGAAGCACAGAAAATAACGTGGAGATAAGAGTGGTGTGAATGCAAACTTTACCAAAGTGAATTACAATTGTCACCCATGATGTTTTATAAGTTCAGGTAACTGCTAATAAAATACACATTGATCTAAAATAGTTATTCAGTTTCCTTATCCATCTCGACCAGGATTAGTATAACTTTGTACCAGGTCTAGCATGTTGTTTGTCATGGTAAGTTGTATACATGTCAGATGCACGTTGGATGTGCAACAGTCTCTTTTGGCGAGGCTATTCTTAACTATGATAGCTTGCTGGTAGCAGTCATGTAGATCCTCATCTAATAGAACTTCAGCCTGGGTTACATCAATATTCCATGTCTGCTGATCCGTTGGTTGACCTAACTTGAGACCCTGGTTGATCTAAGGTATTCAGATGAAAAAAAGTTGCGGCAAAGATGAGAAGCCTCTATCTTGCTCGGTTTAGTTAGGATAATTGGAGCTATGGAGCAAGGAACCTACCATTAAGCAATCATATATATGCCGACATCTTTCACAGTATTTACGTAAAGTTAACTCCAAAGCTTCCCGTAACAAAAAAACCTCAATGGTTGGTGATGCTGCCGAACTAACATCTTTTAACTATTGTTTTGCTTTTGATGATTCTTTCATGAACAGGAGGTTTCTTTTATCTAAATTGGTTCTTAATTCACACTTGAGGAGTCTGCCACCTAAAATTTCTCATATGTGCTACAGAATTGTGGACATCTTCATGGTTACAGTTCTGAAGAGATAGAGGTACTTTCTTTTGGACCCTTTTTCTTTTTTAGTTTATTTAATTCGTCAATATCCCTTAATGCTATTACCTGACTGTAATCTTGTAGCTTGTTGCTCTACTTGTGAGATTTCACAGGAAAAAGTTTCCAAGATACCAGAATGATCATTTAAAAGAACTTTCAGCTGAGGTATTGCCATATATTGCTTTCTTAGATCACTATAGTCACCATTCAAAGTTGTCAGATCACAGCTTCTATATCCTGCTTGTATGTCTCTATTTTTTGTACATGTGGGCCTGGAGAAATGAAAGCTTATTGCAGGTTCCTCGTGTGTCTATGCCGCAACTCTATGTTTGCTCCAGAATATATTTCCTAGTGATGTTCATAGATATTGATATGCCAGCTCCTCAACTGGCTTCTTTCGTCCTGCTAATTATAGGTCTCAAATTCTAGTGGTTTTCTGATGTTGCTATTTCTAGAATGAGATGCTGACATAATTTTTTATGATATTTCTATTTGTTTTGTATCACAACATTAAATTCTGTGGTTCATATGCTGCTTTTCAGAAAATGTTACACTGATGAATACATTTCAGATTTTGGCCATATATGCTACATTTGATTTCAGAAAATGTTCAACTTGAGATGGAACACTGATGAATACTGTCACTGGTACCTAAGGAACCTTTTACAGAGCCTTTTAATTGATTGGTGCAACTCCATTCAAATCAGTGTTGAAGCCGGATATCATACTTATGGACTAAATAATGCATCAAGTTACATTTGACTTCTTTGCATACTACAAAGGGCAAAGATTTTAGTTATTTATTGTGTGAGAGGATTTCTGATCAAGTATTGTGGCAAAAGGTTTGTGGGATCAGTCAGGTACTTCTAGATAATTAGACATGCTTAGAATAGCATTGAATTGTAGGTTTTCAACATTACAAACATGAGCACCCTAACCTTTCTAAAAAGCCTCCATTATTATGCTTTTTATGCTTCATTGCTGACGCTTAATTTGTTTCATACTTTCAGATGAGGCAGAAATTTAGAGTTCTTTGTGTAATCACACGAATTTCTTTGAGACTACAAAAATGTCAGTGTGTGACTTCCCAAAGACTTGAAGTTTTTCCTACTGAAGAAGGTTTTGAAATGGTGCGCATTAACCACTAACATATATTTACTTTGTGCCATTTATTGAGAGTATTGTGCATGATTTAATTGTATATCTTTCTTTTGCGGAACTTGACCAGAAAAGAGAAATAGCATGTGTGTCCTTTTTCTAAAATGTGATCTTGACTGACAACAATGCCGACATATATCCACAATTTCTCCAACTATATTAGTCAGCTAGAAGCATTTACACTTGTGCTTTTGGATTCATGTATTACTGAAGGCTACACATGTTGTGAATGTCACTTGACACATTGTGTCATGCAAGGTTCGCCTTACCAGTCGGAGCTGGTGTGTCGGTCGATTGACGACACGGCATGTACCGATCTTTATTGGTGTATCGACACATGGTACACTGGTAAGTACCAGTGTTTCGGAGAGTACACTGGTAAGTACCAGTGTTTCGGAGAGTAAGAAAAAAGGGAGAAGAGGAATGAGAAAGAAAGAGGGAAGAAGAGGAAGTGGCAAAGGAGGAAGAAGGAAGAAAGAAGAGGAAGAGGAAGAGGAAGAGGAAGAGGAGAAGAGACCTTACCTGAGACGTGGCGGTGCAGTGAGGTCGCGGCAAGCGGAGCTCACCATCGATCGCAGCATCAGAGGTGATGCTCGTGAGCCCTGCGAAGGCGGAGAGGATGCCTGCGAGTGCTGCGGAGGCAGCGGTCACGTGAGAAGTGGGAAACTAGTTCCCTTTATATGTTGGACCGGACCGGGGTGGGTCCGCATACCGGTTAGCGCTCAGATCAATGTGTGTCACCCATTTCGTATCGGTCTGGGCGAAATGGCGAACATTGGACTGTCATGTACTTTATTAGTTCATATTCCACCATCTGATATGCTTTCTTCCTCCCAATAACACACTTCATCATGATATAAGATACCTTTCTTGCACAGTGAACACCTATCCATGGATTAAGGACTCTGCAGCTTGTAGTATTGTCACCGAGGGTGCCAATCTTATTTCCTTATTGGTGCATAGAGTTCCATCACCGCTAAGAATGTCTTCGGTTTGTGGCCTTTTCTTCTTTTGAATCCATTTTTTGTAGGCATAAGCAAATTTGCCAATTATTCAGACGATGAGTTACCGGCTTTAAGTTTAAGCAGAAACATTTCCTTTAAGTTTGCTTTCTTATGGTTCTTGGATATAGTTTGTATTGTACATATGTTTCTTCATCGGATTTAGTTTATGTTGTGCATATTGTTCTTGATTGCAGATAAAGAAAATAGACTCAAATTTATCACACTCGACAATTTAGATTGCCATGAATCTCTCTTCCTAGATTATCTTCAGCAACTTCTTTCGTACAGGATAAGGTAGCAATAGCAGAATGTCCCATCTTGTATGCTGAAGAACACTTGTAATGTCTCAGGTTCTTGGTAGCTTGAAGGACCATCTGCAAGGTTCCCATGGGATCGAACTGACATCAGCCATCATTGAGGAAGAACTAAGACCTGAATTAGATCATTTCGAAGAGGTATGGATTATTCTGTTTTGATGAATTAGTACACAAAAACAAAGTACAAACACCTATTTTTGGTGGATCTGAGGTTTCTTCAATTGTCCATCCAGGTGTTCCAGCAGAAAATGTCAGTTTCAGTCCCTTGAGGTTGCAGAAAGAGGTACCTTTAAACCTCATGTGTTTTATGCTGAATTCTGTATCCATAACTTGTTGATCATCATATAAACTATTCTAAGCTGCATTAGATAAACTCGATCTTAGGCTTCTTCTTTTTTCTGTTTATTGGCAATAAAAACATTAAAAAGAAGAAGAAGATGAAAGAAGCCATCATCTGTTTTGTTCTTCTACCGTTGACTAGTGTCTGTATTCCATGTTTTTACCTCGACCCAGTGGATCGGATGGGCCATTTTTCCCCTTCTGTTGATCCATTGGGTTGGTAGGCTTTAGCGGGTTTGGGAAAGACTTGATCCGTTAGTAGGTCGGGTAGACGTCCGATTAAGGACAGCAGGACGGTTTTGGTATTACTCCCCTTCTGTTGATCCATTCGGTTGGTAGGCTTTAGCGGGTTTGGGAAAGAATCGATCCGTTAGTAGGTCGGGTAGAGGTCCGATCAAGGACAGCAGGAAGGTTTAGGTATGCACGAATCTCGATGCAAATCGCTAGTTCCCCATGCGAAGGTAGCGAGGCGCCCCTCCCTAGCTGACGCCATCATTATCCTTCCCTCTTGATTGGACCTTATTCCCTCCTCCCTTCACCCTATGACGTCTTTGTTGCAGGTTGTTTCTTTGACGACCATCATCTTCCCATTGGCTGGTACTCTTCTCAGTCCACTAGCCGAACTACTGTCTCATGTATGCAGCTCAACCATAATACGCCTAACTCATTCAAAGTTCAAACACGTCAGTATCACTCTGCTACGCCTACTTCCCCTACTCCGCTGCTGCTACGACCGCTTCAAGCGGATCGGAACGAAACGTAGCCGACCTGTGCGACGGTGGCTCAGGTCAAAAGGCGTCAACAATATGTAGAACATGTAGTTGTGTGTTCATTAACCAACGCGGTGAAGGCGCTGCATCGAGAGCAGCACAGCACGAAAAGGTCAGCATCATGCGCCCCTGGCACGGCCTGGGAAAATGGACACCACCCCACGTTCCCTGACACCAAACATCGTCTCTACCGAAACTGCCCGGGCCACCCCTGCGGTAATCGCACCCACATTGTCCCAGCGCTCTCGTGAGTCGTCTCCACGAAGAAGCCCTACGTAGCTTCGGCGCAACTCGAGAGCAACTGTCGTCACCGGTGAGATACGGGGAAGATTGGCCGTACGTTGGCGATCGGACGGAGGGACCAGGGACGGCCGGTGGTCCCGCTCCCGGACCGATCACGTGATCCCTGGACACGTGGCGAGATGCCGCGGCTCAGCTATTGGCTGGCACTGCCGGTCCCATACCAGCGAGTGGTCCTTCGTCGTGGGACCGCCGATGTTCTTCTCACCAATCGGCCAACTTCCCCTCCCCCTCCCTCACGTTTCATGTGATATATACCTTTAAGCGAAAAATAAGGATTTGGTGTGGGTGAGAATATTCGCACGACGCGATGCGGTCGCTTAGGAATGCGCACGAATCTTATGGCAAGTGAGAGAATCCGAGGGCGACAACAGAATTGTTGGTTTATTTTAGCGTTACTGCTATCAAAGAAGTGTTGGCAGTGGCACTTTCGGAGTTTGGGCGGCGTAGGGAGGGCATTCACGGGAAAGCTCTTCAATCTTGCCTGTTGAGGACTTTAAAAGGCTCCCGTCCCCGCCTTCCTCCATGATTGCGTATCGGAGAAGACGCCGACGCCTACCGTCTGTTCTCTCTTCCTCCTCGTGACTGTTTCCTCTCCTCTGTGCGATATGGAACCAGAAAACCCTAGCAATGGCGAGCCCGATGGCTCCCTCGATCCCACGAGCCAGGGGCACGGCGACGAGTTCGAGAGCGCCTGCTCCACCCCCTTCGCCAGTGCCCCCTCTAGCCCCGGCCGCGGCGGTTACGGCGGCGGCGGCGGTGGCCTCTTCTTCTTTAGCGCCCCCTCCAGCCCGATGCATTATGTTCTCTCCTCTCCCTACTCCGTCACCGACTCGCCCTCGGATCCGGCCTCCACCGACTTCTCCTTCGAGTTCGAGTTCTCCGCCCGCTTCCCCGCCCATTCCACCGCGGCCTCCGCCGACGAGCTCTTCCTTAATGGCCAGATCCGCCCCATGAAGCTATCCTCCCACCTCCAGCGCCCACAAGCTCTCGCCCCGCTCCCAGATCTCGCCGAAGAGGAGGATGATGACGAGAAGGATGGCCCGAGGTACAACCGCGAGGGGCTGGAGATCGGCGTCCGAGGGCGGGACCTGAAGCTCCGGAGCCGGTCCGTCCATCGGAGGGCCAGATCGCTTTCCCCGCTTAGGAACCTGCCGTTCCGTTGGCGGATGCAGGGCACGGATCGGGAGGAGAGGGGCAAGGATCTCGAGAAGCCCCCAGATCTGACGCAGATCGAGGCGGAGGAGGCACCGGCGCCGCCCGTGTCGGCGTCCTCCCGCTCCTCATCTTCGTCGTCGACGTCCTCGTCTTCCTCGTCGGGACGGAGTTCGAAGCGGTGGATCTTTCTCAAGGATCTCCTCCACCGGAGCAAGAGCGAGGGGAGCGACCACGGAAAGGACAAGTTCTGGCACGGGATCTCCTTCTCGGGGTCCAAGGACAGGCCGAAACCCACTGCGAGCTCGAACCCGGAGACGAAGCCGCCAGCCGCGGCCCCGACGCAGCGCGATGCGCCGCAGCCCAGACCGGCAAATGGGATCAGGAGACGGAGGAGGGCGGCGCCATCGGCTCACGAGCGGCACTACACCACAAACCGGGCGCAGGCCGAGGAGATGAGGCGGCGGACCTTCCTGCCCTACCGGCAGGGCCTCCTCGGGTGCCTGTGGTTCAGCTCCAAGAGCTACGGCGCCATCAATGGCTTCGCCCGGTCCTTCAATCCCGTCCCCTCGAGGTAACCCGCTCCACCTCCTCCGCATTATTACTACCCAAGAAAACTAGCAAATCGAGTTCTGTACAGTACATCAAATCTCTGTTAGTGTATGAGGGATCGAGGCTTTCTTGTTTCGCGTTTCGTTCATGTTTGCGATTGCATCCTGCTTCTTCATTACCTCTTGCTTTCGTCCACTAAGTCCATGCTTGCTTGTCCTAGCTAACGAAGAGCATGAGACACCGTCTGTTAAGTTACAGGCATCGTCTTCCGTCTTCCGCTGTTCTCCACGGTGCTTCGATGCATCAACATACAGCTTCCAGTTCTTTTTGGACGCACTCAAGGATGGAGATGTGGGTGTGATTCATGTGTTGCCGGTTCATCACATGTCCACATCCCATGGTACAGCCTCAGTTGGTGTCAAGACCACATAACCGTCCATTGATTGATAGGCATTACCATCTTATCAGAGAACAACACATCGTGTTCTTGTGTAAAGAGTAATGCTATGCATAATAGGCAGTAGGTCCAATCCCCAAGACTATGGAAGCTTGATCCATATTCTCCTTCCTTTTTTTATCGTCGGTGCTAGATTAGATTCGGTTCAATGTGCGGGTGATTCCCATCGCAAGTGCAAACCCAACCTGCATCTGGAGTCATCGCAAAGGCTAGATTAACTGTATGCCTAAATTGCACCCACTTACGACACACGGCATCTAGGAATAGTAGCTCGCTACTGTTTTCATTCTATCATCCACATGCGTAGTTAAGAATGGACAATAGTTTAATGCCACCGGCAGTTAATTAAGACACTCCTTTGGCATCACAGCTGAGATTAGGGCTTTGGACCACGTGGGAAGCAGGGAAGGTGGCCTTAAATATTAGTTACAGGCTAACAGCGAAAGCAAGATGTCATGGAGCAGTATTCCAGCATTATATATATATATACACACACAAAGAAAGGAAGTTGGTTCCTATGCTGCTAGAGATGGAAGCGTGAAAACCTAAAGGGAAGGGAAGGTGAGGGCTTTCATGCATCCCAACACCAAGTGCTGTTGTGCATGTGAAAACGGGAATCTACCAAGTGGCAGGGGCTGTTATGAAACCAAAAAAAGACTCGTCCCCTTCTCTTTTTCTTTTCACCTTCATACACGCCCCGAGAAAGAAGACAAAAGGCAAAGTGGATGGATATCACTGTTGATGAACTCCTTTTTTAACCTCTTAGACGCTGTGGTGGTGGGCTTAGTTGGTGAAGCCCCCGAGATGCCATGGACCACATGCATGGAGAAGATTAGCTAAGTCTCTTGAAATGGTGCATACACATGGACATAATAGGCAGCAATAGGCTAAAACTAGACCAGCAATTTTGTTAGTGCGTTGCAGTAGCCTTGCCCTTGGATGAAAGCTACTTGTAGCGGACAAGAGATCTGATCATTGATCAACCATGGTGCATATAAAGGACACAGTAAGTGTGGTGTCTACGTTCGCCCTAAAAATACACAGGTGTTTTGAATCATTTATTTACAATAGCATCATAAGAGCGCGATTTCACTTCTAAGTGCTGCATGAATGGCATCCCAGCCAAGATGATTCGGATACATAATGGAACGGGAGGCAGGATGGCCCCCATGCCAATCATCCCAAATTGCATGCACCAATTAAGCAGCATGCAGCAATTTACAAGGATGAAGGTTATATCATGACCCATCAAATGCTGTAAGCAAACAATATTCTTGATAATGTCCAGCCAATTCCTACAACCATAATCCTACCAAAAGATATCATCTATATATATATATATATATATATATATATATATATATATATATATATATATATATATATATGCATTCAATTTAAGAAGCATCTAGGCGGTGACATATTTAATCAGAATAAATGATGTTATAAAAAGATTCGAGGCACATCAAGGTGTTAAGTTCTCCTAGAGCTTAGGCGCACACGTCACTAAAACGATGAACACTTTAATATAACAACAAATCAGAAGTCGAAAGAAGGAAAAGAAAGCAGCGGTAGAAAACGAAAAAAAAGGAGAGGAAATAAATGGAGAGAGAACAGGTAGTTGCTCTTAAAAAATCAATGTTCGTCGCAAAAGAAGATATACCAAAATTTCTCTAGTTCCCAACAAATGGGAGATATAGGGATCCAACTGGGCCAACATATTCCAATGAGGCGTCAGAATCCAGCTGTATGTGGCGAACCCGTGTGCCTCAAAAGCTAAAGGTGGGCCCGTCTTGGGCGTCAACTTTTTTGCTTAAGTTTCCCTAGACTTCCTTCTACCTCCTTCCTTTGATGAACCTATGTTCATCAAGCATTAGATTAGTCGCATTCATTTTATTCAAAGATCTAAGGTAGCTGTCTTAGCTAAAGGATAACGTATATCCCTACGATATTGCCTGAAATAGAAAGTATATCCGTAACCTAAAAGGAACTTGAATCAAAAACCTTCTGACAAGCAACACCTAAATATTCTATATAGGCTGATTGGGTATATAAATATAAAAGAACATATATATATCCAGCGCATAAGACTCTCCAAATACGAGCTTTAGGGAGGATCAATACATATAACTTTACTTTTAAATATTTAATATTTTTATTTTTAAATATTTAAAGATATTATTTTCGTCACTCCAACCCTAATCTTCTAAATCACAAAGAGGCAACCTTGAATATTGTGTCTAGGCTCGCCCTCTATGACAAAATTAACGATCTATTTAAGAAAATATTACTTCAAAATTTATAGTAATACAAATTTATTGCTTACAAAGTATGAAAGGACTTCCATGACAAAATTTGCTATCTATTTAAGAAAATATTCATATAAAAAATAGGAACAGGAAAAGAAAAAAGAAAAAAAAACAGGAACCAGTACATAATTGATATGAAACGGCAAAAGTCTAATTAGCTAGAAAAGATGATCTTATTTGTGCTAATGGCAAAGACTACGTGATAGTACATGTTTTTTGCAGAAATTAATTAAAAATCAAAGGCAACCCAACATTTCATTCAGTAATAAATCGAGGTTGAATTAAATAAAGTTGACAAATAGTTTGGTTCAACTTGAAAACAACCACTTTAACATGAATTAACTAAAATAGACATGGTATTATCAATGAGTATGGTGATCAATAGATAACATGAAGCAAGTCTAGTTTGAAAAGAATGAATACAGTTAATGCAGATGAAATGGAATGGCATCATAATATTCACCAGAAATGAAAATTAGGCATTATAATTCCTCACCAATAATTCTCGTCAACCTTCCTTGAATTTTCTTGATAGATGAACAATGACAAAGCACATCTAATTGAATTGCAAAAGTTTTCAATAGTTCTCGCAGTGCAATGGTTGTGACAACATAATTGTCTTTGGCAAGCACTAGAAGCAGACTCCTGGGCAACCTACTCACTGCTTGGGAAGGTACTTGCTGCCGACTTTAGAGATCAATGAACCAGACGACTGTTCCCTCCTTTAGAATCTCTAAAGGTGTCTTGATGATCAATCAAACCCTAAAGAATGCTACAGGAACATACTTCTCCCTTGTCTAACTAAAGCCTACATCTTAGAAATCCTACCAGATTAAACTCCTAACATTTTGTGAAGCTTGTGACCTCTGGTCTTCTACTTTATAGGAACTAATCTCTCCTATAAAAAAGTCACAAGGCCAAGATCTTGCAGGATAACCTCCGTAAAAGAAGAGAGCGAAGAAATGCCACTCAGGCCAAAGAAAAACTAATGATAACAGAAATAAAATATGTCATCGAGCCATATTGCCATATTATAAACGCATTTTCATGTCAAAGAAATCTGACATTTAATATATTACCAGTCCAAGTGGCTCAACATTCAGATTGAGTTTCAGACATTCCACTTATCTGGTCTCTATAAAATCAATCACTTTCCTGACAACATACTATTTTCTGGACATTATTATTAATAACTAGTCGCAGACGAGATTATGTTGGACATATTAGTTAGCCATTGACTTGAAAAGGCTACATTTTTCCCCCACGCAAACTAAGCATGGGTCTTTAAGGTCAACCTAATCGACCAAGGTGACATGCTACACCGTCGCCAATTGATAAGTGCCACACATGCCACGACATGAACTAAGCATGGGTCTCCAGATACAAGATACTGCACAACTAAAGCATGTGCCTGAGCTGCATGGAAATTGGTATGGCCTATATAGAGTCATGATCTGAGTATTGTTTCACACAACAGACTGCAGCCATAGAGATAATTTTAGAATTAACATCATAAACCACAGTTCTGAGCATATGTTCTGATAGAAATAGCACAGAAATATCTGCAACAGGCACGAAACTAGGGGATGGAGAGAGATAAAATACATATAGCTGCATGTAAACTTCAGTGAAAATAAAACAAGCATATAACGAAGTGGTATCTACTTGACAGCACATATTACCTTCACATTTTGAGAAGTATGATGTACAGATCAATGAGTTTTTTTCTCCTCCCTATAAATTCGAGCCTAAAGAAAGCACTTGAGTTATGAAATTGTGTTCCATATGGTCAAAGCATTAAACACCAGATATTAGTGAAAGAAAAAAGGTATTAGTCTGCAAGATAATTCTGAACTCGAGCCAATGCCAGGTCTGAGGGTAGTCAATGAACTCTAGTTCAAATCTCATCTAAAATTTGGTTTGTCTTGTATTCTGGCACAAGATTTAGAGTGTTGGCAACAGATAGATAATAAGCTTTTACGAAAAATTTCAAGGGAACTTCTCGATTTTGGGTTCCTCTAATAGTTGATCGGCTCATATTGGTAAGAGAAGTCTTGAATGATGATTCCAAGTTCATGACAATGCTTACCTGTAAAGAACGCAAGTAAACACGCAAGAGTAAGTTCATACCACTTGCGACCTCTCCATCACTATTTCCTCAAACATTTCATGATCCACTCTCCATTTCTCAGTAATGCTATGATTCTAACCTGCAACATTATGGGGATTAGACTGATGTTGATCCTGATTTGTTACTACCTGATTTGTGACTGGTGGAGGATTCAATTCTGGGTGGATGGGAGAGAAAAGAGGATGTTGATCCTTGATGGTTCCTTCCCACGTATCCAACCGGAAAACTCACATTGAACCATCACCGTCATCTCTAGTCCCATGGAACCCAAACTGCTTCTATCTGGGGACATCGGAATAAGAAACCGTTCGAGATCAAGAAAAAGGGGCATAAGACTTGGGATCCTGCTTAAGGAGATTACCCGCGATACGGTAGTAGAAGGGTGAGGGGAGATGCGATTGCCGATCTCCACTCTCTGGGTCATGGCGTTGATGTCGATCGCCCTCAAGAAAGGCCTAACGATCCTCGAATCGAGCTTCGAAGGAACCCGCGAGCTCTTCTCGCCCTTCTCTATCGCCCCTTCCAACGACGGAGGGATATTTATGGGCTCTGCTCATCGCGCCTTCCGCTTAAATCTTGAAGGAGCTGCTCTCTGAGCCCGCCTCGAATCTAGACCGGTCGATTTACTAATCAAACCGACCATTAGATCAGCCTTTCATCGGTCGAGTTGTTAATGGAATCGGCTCGATTTATATTGTTTGTGATGGCCGCTGAACCGGTAGAATTATTAATCGAACCGGACACTGAAAAATAAAGGGTGATAAAATTCTGGACGAGGTATTAATTGAACCGGCTATTGAATGAGCGAACCAACCCTTCTATAGAAGTCAGGAAGAATCGAACCGGTCAATGATGGACCTTGAAGCGGTCGAGTTACTAATCGAACCGGCCAATCAACAATAAATTTGGGAAAGAACGACGTAAGGTTCGATCAACCATCCAAAAGAACACATATTGTCGAAACGGGGCGTTGCGAGAATCGAACTCGCGACCTCTCGCACCCGAAGCGAGAATCATGCCACTAGACCAAACGCCCGAATTGGTAAGTGTTTGGTAAATTTTATATAAATATATTGAGCAAGTCTTTGCCTTCTCTCGCGTTTCGATCCTTCATCCATTCTGTATCCTCTCCTCTCGCTGCTACGAGTTCCATCGCCAGCCAACATACGGTACAGTTTGGTCGCGACGACCCCTGGTCGTGATCCCTTTCTAATCTTTCCGATAAGAAATCCATGGTCGTTCCATAATTAGGTCAAAATCTTTGCTCGATTGCTGATTCTTTTCGGAATCAAATATCGGATTTTTGTTTGCGGTCTTTAGTGCTATGCGATCGTCAGGTTTTGGATTAACTGCGTGGAATCTTAGCCCTTCGATCGATTTTTGATCTCTCTCTTTGTTCTTTCTGTCATTGTTGATATTGGAACTGAAGGTAGAGGAGCTTTTGTTGCTTCCCTTGCTGAAAGAGCCGTCTTGACAGCAGATCCTAATGGCTCAACCTCGCACTAACGTGAGTTCGATTTTGGGAAGTTGCATTATGATGAAAGTGCTGTTAAGTTGCAATTTACATGTCTGCTACCTGTTGTATGCATAGGCTGTTGGAGTAGACAACACATTTCGTAGGAAATGAGAACGCGAGAACGAGAAAGGCAAGAGGTGAATGCACTGACCAGAGATATATTTATTAAGCTTATATTAAACTAGTTGGCATGTTCATTCAATCCTTATGTTTTTTTCTGTAACAAGGATGAGGAGTCCAAATTCAAATCCAAAGGTAAGTTATAAAATGTGCAGATCTTCCAGATTGATTCGTTGCTTTATATCAATGACTTTTTATAGTTGCTCATGCCCTAATTTGTTGCTTTAAATCTCAGAAAAAGCTCCTCTTGTTCAAAGGAAACCCTTGAAGCACAGGAACTATGAAGTTGACCTCGAATCCCACTTGGGGAAAACTCAGGTTTGTCATAACAAAGTTTAGTTGCTTAGGATAATCCTTTTTTGTTAGAAATTTATGATTGTTAAACAATAAATACTCATACTTGTAGATTTATATTTACATTTGTGTTACAAAGGATGCTCAACTGTAAGAGTTTTTATTCTTCTTTTGGTATTCTCTGCTGCTCGGAAGACATGCAACTTCTTGTTTATTGTCTAGGATAGTGTAGCCATCTATGTCAATGTTGCATGTTTTTTACTCCATTCATCTCTTACCTCTTTAACCAAGGGGATTCAATGTGAATGTAAAAACCTTTAAGCCGTATTTTCACTATGAAGTCATCTTTAAAACTTTGTAATTTTTAGACACATTCAAATTGACATCCTTGTTATTATAGGTGTTCTCTATTCCACAAATTGAGCCTTAACCACAATTGGAGCTCACCAATTAATGACCATGAAACTTTCATTTTACCCTCCACTATTTCACTTTTTTTTTTATCTGGACTTGAATTTGTTTCCATGGCAATATTGGTTTGAACTTGATAGAGATGGATTTTTAATTTCCTGCAGAAACAAACTGCGACTATTTTTCCATCTTTTCAGGTTGAACTTACTGGTTCATCCTCTCCTCTCCACTGTTGGCTATCTTGCTGAATGAAATTCTTCCGTGGCTTTAGGTCTGTGGTTTGAAATATGCATAGTTGTTGATAGAGATGGGTCTTGTGGTGCAGGAGTTCGAGGGAGGAGTTGGATATCAAAGAACTTCTCCAATCATTACTCCTATAATAATATCAAAGAACTTCTTCAATTATTAAACAACCTTTGAGTATCTTGAATATTGAAAAATATAAAGAAACCATCCCCTTATCTCAAAAAATTTCTCCATACTTCAATTGGGTTACGATTACGAGTACTCTTTACCCATGTTGATTATCACAAGAGCTCCCTTAACATCATTTGTCCTATTATTTTCAAATAAATACATTATTCTTGTTGTTATCGCTATTTTTGTATCCCAAGCTAAATTATTTACAGAATACTCATGGCCAAGCATTCATGATTTATTTATTTGACTTATTGATAGTGTTGATATAGTAATTAATATAACTCGATAGAATGGTTCTTGATTGCTTAGATGGTTCAAATAAATTAAAATTTGATATATGATTACTTGTTTCTCATGGGTTACATTCGTTTCTTTTTGCAGGTTGTTACCCTCATTGCATCACTAAGCCAACAGGTATGTTCTATGTCATACTTTAGCTGTTGAGGAACTGTTTTGGATCTATGTATCCTTAGGGGATGGTCTTCATGGCAGCTTTGCTTTCTAAGGAATCTATGGCCTTCTTTTAGCTGATTGCACAATTTTGATGTTAGAAGGCAGAACTTTTTCTTTTCTTTTTTAATGAGAAATTATATTTATATCTGATCTGGAGAAGTGAGTCTAAAACTTGAGTCATAGATTAGATCAGCCAAGTATTTAGTTTGAATTATAGAACATTAATGAGGATAGACCTCTCATATTTGCGCTCTTGACTGGTAAGTGTTGCTGAAACAGAAAATATTGACAAAAATGAAGTGGCAAGTGGGTTATATGCTTATTATTATCCCAAGGATATGGATGTATGATACAGGTTTCCTTACTAAGGAATGGGAGATGTGCGGTGGTGCCTTAAGGGTTCTAGTGATTATGAGGCTAATTACATATTACCTCTTGTACTTGGACCCTGTCAACATCGCGGACTCTGTACTTTAAAAATTTATGTTGGGATCCTCATAGTTATGAAAGTGAAACAATTCATCCTATTTTCCCTAACGCAGTCGGCTGCCCTAACGGAAAATACAACACGTGATATCATGTGCTAGATTGATGCGAAATGGATGGGCAAAAAGGTAATTTCAACAGCGACAGGGCGATTGCTTCAACGGTGATGGCCGCCATATCGGGCACCGCTGTCGCTGCAGCCGTTGTGGCATTGGACCCTGTCCACGAGGACCTTGGGCACTCCTTTGTCTACGTCAACATATCCCACTCTAATGAGGGCGTTGTCACAAGCACCACCATGTTCCGATCCATCTCCGGTGCATCCGTGTATCTCAGGATTTATGTGAATCTATCTAGCTAGAAAAATTGACCAGTAAGGTAGCTAATTGGATCTGTTGTGGTTTTGGTGGCAACTCAGAAAGTAAAAGTAGATAGATTGAAGGAAAAGAAATCCAAGGAAAATTCTGAAAGTTCATGTTCAGATGCAAAGATCCTCTGTTCCATAGCTTTTAACCCAATTCTTGTTGTGTTGGGTGTTCTTAGTGAGACTGTTTGAAGAGTTTTTTTGGCCAAGCAGAGAGCATACTCAGGTGATCATCAATAGCAGCTATCCTGGTGAACAGGAGTTCTGCTACTGCACATCACAAGGCCAGATTATTTTATGCAATCAACAGACTTTTTTATACTACAAGAACAAAACAGAGATTCTACATATTTGCCTCCTCTTGAATCCTGCCTAACATTTGATACGCTGCTGCTGCAATCTCGTCCACCGACATGTGCTGGCAGTCATCTTCCACCTGCGAATCAAAGGCAGGCGTCACTAAGGGGAGCACGCAAACTCCATGAGGTTGGCAACTGATGCAGAGAGGAAGGAGGTGGAGTCCGGCGTACCTTGAAACTAAAGGAGTACATGACCATCTGTTCGATGTAGGTAACATTGAAGTGCAGCGGCAGTTGCCGCGAGCTCTGTAGCCCGATCACCAACTTGACCAGCTGCTTCAGCCGCCGCCTCGTGAGCACCTTGAGGTTTCTGTGGCTCTCCACCATCGTCACCTTGATGTTTGCAGTGGCTGCTTTGTCTTCGATCTCCTCAGTGTTTCAAAAGATACTATCATGGTCAATTATGCCACTACTATTTTCGATGGATGGATTGAAACATAGTGGTGCCTATGGAAACACCCACATCATAGTGGTGGATGCAGGAGGAGGAGGCGTTGGAGTCGGAGCTAGCGAGGTGGGGCACGTCAGGGCCGACATAGACAAAGGAGCACCCAAGTCCCTCGTCAACAAGTTCCGACACCACAACGATCGCAACGGCAGCGGTGTCGACGGGGCGATCATCGCCGTAAAAGCAATTGCCCCATCACCGTTGAAATTATTTTTTTGCTCATCGGTTTCATATCAATCCAACACATGATGTCACTTGCTATGTATTCTGTTAGGACAGCCGACAGTGTTAGGGAAAATAAGATGAATTTTTTCACTTTCATAACCATGGGGATCCCAATATAAATTTTGAAAGTTCAGGGTTTACGATGCTAAATGGTCCAAATACATAAGGTAATATGTAATTAGCCCATGATTATGATATTACTAAGTTAATTTGAGATTTATCATCGGTTAATTTGAAAGTTATCAATTTAGCTAGTCTTTTATCGCGTTGGTTAAGTCCAGGTACTGGCAACCCTTTTATGTTTATATTGCCACACAAATGCTTGTCATTGTTATATCATGGCTGGTCGTTGCGAATGATCTGTACCAGATGGCAGATGACTGGTATGCAGGCCATATCTGGGCTGTCTTATTTCTGTATCCCACATCAATTAAGATTTGGTACGTCATGTCCATCATGATTTTACCAGCTAAAATATTATTTCCTGCAAAATAAGATAACACACACATCTGCACAGATGAAGGCAATGATATCAGGAATCCACTTTTCTAGTGAAAATTTTTCTCATGAGTCATGGTAACACAGATGTTATAAATGTGAGTTTTGTACTTTTGAAGCGACTCTTTCAATTTATAGGTTAGTAATGAAGTGAACATTCACTCTATGAATTTGTATTTTGCAGGCTGGATACTACTGTTCAGTCTGCGAATGAGTTGTAAAAGACTGCCAATTACCAGGACCACATCAATGGGAAGAAGCGTGGGTGTCCCATGCAATTTTTGTTTTTACAATTGTTGGACGAGTTGTTTCTTGTAAGTTACACTAATATCATTGGTCTTGATTCTATTCAGATCAGAGAGCTCTAGCCATGTCTATGAGAGTGGAGAGGGCAACTCTTCAACAGGAATTTTATGCTCAGTTGTTCTAAGAACAAAAATAATTGACTATTTATGGCCATTTAACAACATAATCAAATATATTGAAAGGATTAATCTAAATTATTCTTCGTAAAACCCATGTTTATTTACCTGTAAAGTTTCATTGATCTATGCTGTATGATATAGTAAACCTTCTTGTGGTAATTTTAGCAAGTATATGTGATCAGAAGAAAAATGGTTAGTTAGGAACAGCAGGTGCAGTGTCTGAAGCATTTAGTATGTTATTTTCTTCATTATGCAGCTTGATCGCAGCTTTCACTATTAACTTCAGCATGCCACTATACTAGGATCAGTCTGTTTCTTGTGCTGATATAAAATGATTGCTTCAACTGTCATGCTGCAACTTTTATCTGTACTTCTTGATTTCTTTGTTGTCATTCTTATACTCAAGTGTTTTCTTCTTTTTACAGGTTCAAGAACGATTTGAAATGCTTAAGAAGCGAAAAGCTCCGGAGAGCTTTTCTGAGCAAGGTAAGGAAATCGAGTGAACTTTCTTAGCGTACAAATTCATTAGTTGTTTAGTGCTGGTCTATGATTCATTATACAGTTTTGCAGTTTTGCTTCCCCTGTTTTGTGGAAATGAACTAGAATAAACGACTGGCTCTCGCTCTATATAATGGTGTATGTCCTTTTTTATTTGTTTGCCACAGATTTGGATGAGAGGCTAAGAAAACAGCAGGAAGAGGAGGAGGAGTGTCTGGGTCGTGAAAGAAAGAAGGAGAAGAAGGTGAGCAGTTTTCATAAGGGTTGTTGGTTTGGACTGCAGTCTCTTTACCTTTGCTACTGTCCACTATTTTTTTAATGGTCTTATCAATTTTTTTTTGAACTCGGTAAAGACCATGACTTTGTGCTTAGAGATGTGAATACATTGGTTGCATGTGTGATCTTGTTTTGCAATTTGACTATGGACGCATCGGTTTTCAATTTGTTTTAAACAAGACCTTTTGTTGAGAGAGTGGCAACCAATATGAAGAATTGGTTCCAGTGTGTTAAGCATTGCAATTTTGGTTACCGTTAATAGGTTAGGGCATGAACCGCTGAGAGATCATATATATTTTGGGAACAAGACAGACAGATGCCACTTCATCTGAGTCCATCCAAGTATGGCATATTCAATAGCTGTCTGCAATACGAGGAGCCTAGAAAATCAAATGATACATTTGAATGGTTGTACTTAATTTGACAGTCGTAGTGTCATGCAAACGTGAAAAGAACATTGACGATCTAAATATCCTATAGCGAGTCGTAAGTGAAACCATTTTTTGCTCTTACATTATCTCGACTGATTTAAATTGCCTATAAGGGTATTAACCATTGAGAAAGTACATGTACAAATTAGTTGCTCACATATTTCTTCGCAACGATCGGTATATGGTGACATGAAAAGATGGAAAACATTCGAGAGTAAAGTAAATCATTATATTAGGACTTGCTATAAATTTCTCTTGCATATACGACCATCAGTTCCATGATAAATGATTTGGCTCACTACATTAGGACTTCTCAAAATTTTCATGTCAACCTGTAAGAAGCATTATTCACTTGGTAATTATGACATTCGAGATGGTATATATTCTTCAATGTATGGTGTGCTGCCCACATGTTTGATAATGAGAAGCATTTTCTTCTGTGTAACAAATATGCCCTACATTTATTTCTTCCTACTTTGTTTACTTATGAGTTAAAATTTTTGGATCTCAGAAAGAGAAGGCTGCACAAGAAGAAACAGAGGATGTCGACCCCGATGTGGCGGCTATGATGGGATTTGGAGGTTTCCGGTCATCGAAGAAGTGATATATGAGCAATAGCTGCATGGGTCTTCCAATTTGATGCTCTTCAATGGCTTTAGCCCGCATAGCCGAGACTTTCCGGTGTTTGCTTAGATTATTAGAGCAATTCAGGAGATAGGCAGGCACAATGTTGCTGTGGGAACCTGGGTGGTGATGATGCTTGAGTTTATTGAAAAGCTTAATGGTGAAGAACAGAATGCTCATCTTGTTGGGTTGAACTACCAAAAGCTAAAAGTAGTTTCTGTAAGTAATTCCCATACATCACTCAATCTGAGGACTAAACATGGAGAAAGAAACAAAATGTGTCTTGACTACTGTTCCTGTGGATCATAGATTTGATATGACATCCAATTGCATAATCTTGATTTAAATTTACATTCATTTTACTGTTCTTTAAAACATTTGTCAGCATATTAATCAGCAAGCAAAAAAGTTCAATTTCGGTGTGAAAAAACTAAAGGTACTTCGCATTGTTATGATGCTGCTATGAATTTGTGATGAGCCAATATTGTTATATTACCAAGAAAGAGAGGAGAAAGGCTATGCATCAAAATTTTAGCTCCAACTGTGTCAAAAGCTACCTGTTTACTTATTCTGAGCTTGCGCTACTTACTATGGCTTGATGTTTCTTCACTGGCAGTACAACAACTCCAAGGCGAACATAACAATAGTCTTCTTTCAATCCATTATAATAGTGGTCATCATCGACACACTGCCGAATAAGTGTCTAAACCATTAGAAGGTAAAAGAAATCTCCACACTTTATATAATTCAAGACCATCTAAACAACATGGGTGAGCAGATATGAGAAACTCTCAGACGGCATCAGTGTTGCCTTCGTTCAGAAGTGAAGCTTCCCTGCTAGATACCACGAATGCATCGCGAGGCTGCCGAATGCCGTGATGTTGGCAAGCGAAGACAAGCCATGGATCATACCGAATTTCTTGTTCATCGCAGCGAGTTGCGGGTTGGTCTTTGCGGCTTCCTTATTCTTTGCCCCTCCGACTTCCTGGCCAATGTTCAGGTCTCTCTCGATCTTGTGCCTCTTCTTCATCATCTGCTCCAATACGAAGATGCAAAGAGTAAAAAAGAAAATTAACTTTTTTTTATGAGCATCACAATTTCTCTAGTTATATAGTTTTTTGCAAAGAAAGTTAGCCCTTACTGACTATAATGAGAAGATACAAGACTGTTTGCATCAGAACAAACAAAAAGTTAACCAATTAGCAAGAAATCTTTGTTGTTTCTAGCATAAATAGTCGACCGATTCGCAACACCAAATCCTTCATGAAATGTAGAGTAACTTTACATCCGATAAAATAAGACATCAATTACAAAATATTTTGGACTACGCCAAAATTCTCTGAGGAGGTGCAGAGTGATGTTTAAACTTGTCAAGTACTCTCGAAATACTTGAACATAAACCCAAATCCCAACTCGACTCCACAAAAAGTACGGACAAGATTCAGGTTTATTTGGATCACAACAAAATGATTGAATCACATACTATAAAAGAGACATGTTCTAATATAAGAAAGTATTTTTGCATGTATATCCACTATCCAACATATTTAGTATTCTACATATATGCCCCTAAGTTGACTTTTGCATGAATAGCCTTAAAAGAAGTATTTGCTTATATCCCCCTCGAAAATTCATATTTCTTTATATTAACTCCCAGAAGATCTAGTCATTCATGGTCAACTCCATGGAGGTTTAATAGAATTAGGGAAGATACTGGGGGTTGTGCAGACTCATGAAACGATCAACATATGAATTTTTTGTCCTTTTGACCTCCTTCAAAATTTTGAAGGAAAAGAGACGAGGATGCAATGGAACTTTTTCTCCTATATAAGAACTTGCTAAACAAACATAATATATAACCCAAGCTGTAGAAATTTGCCAAATAAACTTGTACAAGTTCAAAGATTTACCTTTTCGAATCCAATCACAATTTTAACAGTTAGGACATTTTTAGCTAATAATACATTTTAAGGTGATCTAAGCAGTTAAAATAAGAAACCCATAACACAATGTCTTAAACTTACTCATGATCGTCATATCACAAGAAGAGCTACAGAAAAGGGAAGAACCCAATTCATGAGACTTGCGTTGGTTCGGGAAGGATCAACGTATGCAGTCTTACCTCCTCTGTATGTAGAGGAGAATCAATGATAACATTGAGCTATACTAAGAGCAATATTACTGGTCATAAGGAACAGCTATTGTATCTTTTCTTACTACTATGATAAAGAACACAACAATTATGGATTTCTAATTGAGCCTATAGATTTCAAGATCTTGGATGAGTTGACTGAATCACCTCGATGGTCATTGGCGTGAAGACGAGGAGGTTGGAAAGGTCGAAGCCGAGCGCAGAGAGCAGAAACCCAAGCTGATACCTTTCGATGGATGAGGCTGACCTCCACGGATGGAGGTAGGCAAACGCTGCCACCGAAACCGCCGCGCACACGGACACCACCATGAAGTACGCCGGGAACATCTTGCGCTGGAGATTGCCGAATTGATGCCTCGGCAAATATCTGCAAGATTTCTACACTCATGCGAAATTCTAGCTATCACTAGCAAATGAACCTTTACCTCTATGCCTGAATCGATTCTAGTACGACGATAGCAACGATTACCAAAGTTGGGATGTTTGGGGGGGGGAGAATAGGGGTTACTTGAACATGATGATGCCGCCGATGAAGGTGACCCAGAGGGCGGCACCCCAGGCGGTGGCGAAGGCGAGGAGGTGGCACAGCTTGGCGGCGGAGACGGCGGCCGCGGGGGATTCCGGCCCCGATCCGAGTACGTCCGGCGCGAAGACGACGCCGACCGCGAGGAACGCCACCGCCGTGAGGAACCGGGTCGACCACGCCATCGGAGCGCCGGGCGAGAACGCGAGAGAGAGGGAGAGAAATCTAAGGTTAAGGTTTCGGTGGGCGAGCGCGTGGGTGGCTGAGGAAGAAGAAAACGACGACGACGGTAAGTATCGCCCGGAGAAGTTCTCGACGAATCAATGGAGGCAGGCTGATGCATCCGAGAGGTAGGTGGGAACGTGTGAGGTTAATACCTTCTTTTCCAATCATACCCCTGTGATGCATGGAATTATGCCGTCTTGCTTCTGGAAATTGAGGGCATTATAGGTATTTTGATCTCTCCTGGTCCAATGTATTAAAAGAATATAGAAAATAATGACCAACGGCAAGTAATCTTTTAGATGGTGTGCTGACAGTCACACTTGAATCTATTGATGTATCGTATATTGTAGCTTCGAGGAATATTTGTGGCACGACTGCCAATAATAATTCGAAGAGGAACGTTTAACGATCAATTTTGACTTTTCAACACTCGCAGACGAGTTGTTGAGATTCGAGCTGATGGAAAGTTGTAATCGGGTGAATCATTATGTCATGCATGAATTTTTTAGATCGATTAATAATGTTCTAACAACGGCGACTCCCAACATGAGATGGATGGCAGCTAGACAAGCAAAACAGAGCAGGGAAGCAGAACATATATGGTAAACGAAGAAGTCAAACCTCATTGACCAAAACATATATAGTAAACCTGCGGAGAGGAAACAGTCACGAGCTCAGAGTCCTTCGTTCATGATCAATCGTAAGTCGATGCTAGGAAACATATATGGATGCCATCAACTTTGTTTATCATCTCAGACACGGTGGGCAACTGCATCCATTCTTTGACGGCCAAATTCGACAGCGCCAAGGATCAAATCGGAACAAAAATACGGAGCAGCACCAATTCCAAATATTAGTTTCCTGAAGTAGGCAAGTCTAATGAGGAAGGAACAGAGGACCCATTCATGAACCTTGGAATTCTTTTGTGTCACCAAGAGATGTAGCAATTCGGCACGACAGTTCTATGATATATCACCATGAATCACAAGCTCGGACAGCGAGTACAAGATCATGCCATATGAAAAACGATGTGCTCTGTGAAACATGAATCCTGCTTTTTTCTAAATCCTGAGTGAAACAAATAAATGATTGGATGGAAGCAGAAAACAACTGAAACCACTAATTCCTGTTTCTATGAGTACTTACTATGTGAAACAAATAAATATCTGGATGGAAGCAGCACGGCCTCGATCCTTCCAAACTCAAACCAGATGTTGACACTACAAGCATGGTTTCCATGGTCCAAAAAAGAAGAGTCGAGTCTAGGCCCAATGAGAAATCACAATGTGTCGTCCATCACGCAAACAACGACCAAGGACCATGGTTTAGCAAAAGTTTTTGAGTTTAGGCTAGATGGCACCAAAGGCTCACCCCTACTTAATGTATTGCGAAAGCCACTTGAAGCCATCACCATAGCCCATCTTACGCACAATACTGCACATGAAGACCTCAAGGGGACGGACATTGGAGTCGTTAAGATTCACATTGCCCTTGCCGGTTGTGAAGTTGTTCAGACCCAGATGGTAGCGCAACTCATCCTCCGATGCTGCATATGGGATGTCAATCTTGTTCCCCAAAATGAGGAATGGGACATTGGCAAGGGCATCATCAGACAAAAGTGCATCTAGTTCCTTCTTTGACTCTGCAAACCTCTCCTTGTCGTATGCGTCCACTAGGTATACCACCGCATCCACCTATTTAGACAGTAGCCATACCCAGCATATTAAAAGAGTAAAAGATCACATCTACTATACAGAGGGATACAATGTCACAAAATCTAGAAAGCATGCACTGACTAATTTAATCAAGATCATAAGAAGAAATGTAGCATGTAATATATCAGTGAATAATAGCCCAAAGCTATATCAGTTTAGATAAACAATGAACAATTTCTTGGAAAGTTTACAAAATTTTTCACACTCTTACCACCAGTAAATATTTTGTATAACTGTCAAAAAGGAAGTTAGCTAGAGTTACTGACAAACACAACAGGGAACGAGGTCTGTAATAGTTCAGTAATTTAATAATGGCTGCAATGCCAACAATAGGGATGCAGTGGTGAGGTTCTATCCTACAGTTCCAGTTGGTGCGAGCCTCTCTCACTGAGCTGCCCTTTTTTTGTAGTATTGGCTACAATAGAAATGAAATGCAAGCAGCATGTTTAGTTGGCTTCAATGGATTGGCAAATTGATACACGACAACAAAATTTTGATGTTTTGGATTTGGGACATCAAGCGTAAATATATTTTTTCCTAGTGTCAGCAAAGTCGACCCAACCAAGCCCTGAGTGTTTAGTTCCTGTTAAATCAGTGGGTAAATGGTTACATCACAGGTTTAGAAAAAGAAAAAAAATATTAAAAAGACAAAATTGTCCTTTCATCTTTTTGCTTTTTTGTCTTTCTTCTTTCTTCCTTCCTTCCTCCTCTTGCTCTTGTTTTCTTTCTCTTCTTGACATTCGCTCCTCCTTGAATGTCTTCCCTCATTCTTTTTCAGTAATATTGATCTAGATTGTTGTATCCCAAATGGATGTGCAAAGACAAAGTTAATGGGCATTGGTAAAGAGATGTTATGGATTAGCATTGTCGAAGAGAAATGAACGAGCAGTTTGGTCTAGTTTTCACCATTTTGTCTGAAGTACATAATCAACATGGTTGTTTTTTGGGTCACCGAACATGGTACAAGACTTTTCTGGTTACATTGTATGAGGGAATAGCCTTAGTTGGATTGCTATATTTGACCATGGTTCACTTGAGATCATTCATGAAGGTCATATATATGACATTCTATAAGAGAATAACCGAAGAATGCAACAACCAATTATATGAAGTGCCACACCAAGTAGAACAGGTAGGAGACACCTATAAGAGGGTTGCTTAGTTCAAAGTAAACTAAGTCCACAAGATACAACCCGTAATAAATGAAGAAGCCCTTTGATGATGATTCATGTATTCTCTAAACTGAAGGTGACTATTAGCGTGCAGAGCAGTACTAGAGTCCAAGTTTTATGGCATTCGTCTGTGAATATGCTGATTATTCTTGCTTCCTGGCATTGATGAGCAGACCAGATCTGGAAGCCCTGCAAACCAGTGATATTCCAATAGCCCCAAAGATGGCTACTACAAGTCATATATGACTCTGTAAATTAGATCCCAGCACTGGTTGTTGGAACATAGGCTGATGCCATCCATTGGATGGCATTTTCATGTTAATCAGCACTTAGGAGACTAATTGGGTATGTTAACTAGATTAATAAGGATTAACCACTTGGTTTTGGTTTTAAACTTGGTCTAATCTAATTGGAAAAGAGTCAATTGCCTATTAACTGAACACGGTTGCCAAACAATTTAAGGAGCTGAATATAAAAGATATGTGAAATTAGAACACAATCATAATCAAGAAGACCAATTCTAACAAGCAGGTCGCAGAAAAATAGCAGACCTTTGCGTAGTAATCCTTCCAGACACGTCGTGCGATCTGATGGCCCCCCAAATCAAAGGCCTTGAACTTGATCTTCCCGATGCTCAGCTCCTCCGATGTCGGATACTGAGTCGGCTGGTGCTGAACTAGTCTCTGCATTCAAACAAACATATCCAACAACCAAAATAAGCCAGACAGATGAAGCATCCAAAAGGAAACCCAACAAAGGAGAACAATAACGAGGGGGGACCTCCTCCTTGAGCATATGAAGCAGCGTGGTCTTTCCGGCATTGTCAAGCCCCAAGAACAAGATCTTGGCCTCCTTCTGCCACAGGCCCAAGGAAGCAAGGACCCCGTAGAACCAATCCACCAGGAACATCGCGGCGGGCGGGGGTCCGACCAGATGGACGACCGGATCGATCGAATCAACGAACGATCTCGCCGGAATCCGCCTGGAATCCCCTCGATGGGACGAAGCGAAACCCTACCTACAGCAATGAGGAAGAGGGAGAGAGGAAACAGCTTGGAATTGGAGGAACGAAGAAGGTCATTGTCGCACGGCAATTAAATGGCATATTTATAGCGGTCATTTGTGCAGTTGGGGTGTTTGGTGAGGGATCGACCCGTCCGCGCATCGTTTCGTTTCGCTGTATAAAACGGACAACACGACCAACTTCACGAACTTTTTTTTTCTATGATCATTTTTATTTATCTTCTCTTATTTTTATTTCTATTAAAAATTATAAAATTACGAATAACGATAATGAAAGTAGAGTATGTTAGGAAAAAATATTGTTTACATCTTGGTCGGCTCGATATGGTTTAGACCCGTGTACTAAAAAATATTCGAGATGTCTCTGAGAAGAAAATATTGTATTTCTGAAATACATTCAAGATAGCTTCAATGTGGATCCAAAATAGATCATAAAATCTAAAATCACCAACAATTATAATGGGAGGAGAGTCTCTTAGAAAAAAATTTTGTTGACGTCTTGGTCAACCTAACGTGATCTAGATCTATGTATGTAAATATATTTTATATGCCTCCAAGAAGAAAATATCGTTCTACTAAGGTATATTTGAGATTTTTCCTAGATAGATCTAAGGTGGATCCAAGATGACTCCAAAGTGACTCTAAGGTGGATCTAAGATGTCAAACTCGCGAAGCACCACATACACTAAGATCGATATACAAAAAGGTTTTCCGATCTAGTCTCTTCAATACTCAAGTTAGTAACCAAAGTTCCTAAATATGGGTTTAAGTATTTCAAAAGGATTAAGTCCTTTATTTATTTTTTATTTAGGATATATTTTTATATCTCGAGAAGAAAGTTTGTGATGTTATTGTAAATTAAAAAAAAGAAGAGAGTTTAGAATTACATTTAACGTCGTTGTCATAAAAGAAGAGATAAAGTTTAAGATTATATTCTTCGTATAAGAAAATAGTTTGTGATTATCGTATCATACTAAACGAGAATTGATTAATTCCCTAATCTAAATAATATAAAATGATGAGCTTTGATCTTTTTCGGAGTTGAGTCTTTATCCAAATTTAATATATTATTATTATATTTTAAATCAGGATTTACGTCTGACATAAATATATTTTTATTTAGAATAAAACACAGAAGAAGAAAAAACAAGATAATTAAAAAGTGAAGCCGTCAATGCTATTAGCATTGTATTGATTCGGGTTCAACGTAAAAGACCACAACAACACCAACGACAGCGAGAGAAAGAAAGAGAAGGCGATTGCCACAGGAGTCCTCCTGTTCTCGAAGCCTTTAATGGAACACAGCAAGCTCTCCTCCTCGTTTGCCACCAACCCATGCACGCGTTCTTTTACCGGAACCACTTGAAGAGCAGTCCGCCATGGGCGGCAAAGAAGGGAGCGAGCACCAGCGACTCCACCGCCATGAGCTTCACCAAGATGTTGAGGGAGGGCCCCGACGTGTCCTTCAGCGGGTCCCCTATGGTGTCACCGACCACCGCGGCTTTGTGCGGGTCCGACCCCTTGGGACCCAGTGTCTTGGCGTGCTCGGAAACACCTGCCTGTCATCGAGCCCACGCATCAAACGCAAGAACAGATTGCAATGGGAGTTTCAAGATCGATCTACCTCTATGTACTTCTTTGCGTTGTCCCATGCACCACCAGTGTTGGAAGCTGAGATAGCGACCTACATGGATGGGAACACCGTTGGGAATGCGACATGGCAGCTGCAACAGGCAAGAAGAAGAAGAAGAAGAAGACGATCTTGGCACCATACCTGCACGCCGGAAACCAGCGCACCGGCGAGGACCCCGGCGAGAGTTTCCACCCCAAAGAACGTGCCGGCGATCAGGGGGGTGAGCATGACGAGAGCGCCCGGCGGGATCATCTTCCTCAGCGACGCGTCCGTGGAGATCTTGACGCAGGTCGCGTAGTCCGGCTTCGTGGTGCCTTCCATGAGGCCAGGAATGGTGTTGAATTGCCGCCGGACCTCCTCCACCATCTTCAGCGCCGCGCTGCCGACGCTCCTCATGGTCATGGCAGAGAACCAGTACGGAAGCATGGCTCCCACCATCAATCCGATGAAAACCTTGGGAGACAGCACGTTGACGAAGTCGATGCCTGCTCTGCTCACGAAGGCTCCAAACAAGGCAAGGGAGACCAGAGCTGCCGATCCAATAGCGAAACCCTGATGCGCAAACATCAGCGATGTCAAACAAAGGAAGAGCATCGACACTCTGTTTCCTACTATTCCTGGTGTAAAAGAAGAACCTTGCCGATGGCAGCGGTGGTGTTGCCTGCAGAGTCCAAAGCATCAGTCCTTTCGCGGATCTTGCGACTCATTCCGGCCATCTCGGCGATCCCACCGGCGTTGTCGCTTATGGGTCCGTACGCATCGATGGAAAGGCCGGTGGCTATCGTACTAAGCATTCCCAGAGCTGCGACAGCAATCCCGTACATGGAAGCCAGGCTGAAGCTGACGTAAATGGCTATAGCTATGGCAAATATTGGAACGATGACTGATTTGTATCCGAGAGCCAGTCCAAAGATGACATTAGTGGCTGCACCCGTTCTACAGGAATCTGCAACAGCTTGAACTGGCCTGCAAAGGTTCGACGAGCTTTAGTGCGAAGCATGGTGTCATGGGTGATGACCATGGTGAAATGCCTCCTCACCTGTAGGCGTTACTCGTGAAGTACTCGGTGACGTAGCCGATGATGAGCCCCGCCCATAACCCGACGGAAACACAGAAGAAGAGGTGCCTGTCATCATGTAAGAACAGTAGTGCACGGTTGAGCTCTCGAGCTCGGACAGACATAATGAGAATCCACAAAGAAGCTTACCAGTTCTTGACGGTCTTGTCCTCTCCGAAGTTGAAGAGAGTGAATTTGGATGGCAGGGCAACAAAGCTGACGATGGCGATTCCCCCGGTCATGAGGACTGTGGAGATCACTAGTTGCCACTTCAAGGAAGGTTCGATCTGTTTGACGCTTTTGATCTCGAAGAAGTCAGTGGCAACCAAGGTGGTGAACAAGCAAACGATGATCCCCATGGAACTTATCAACAGAGGATAAGACATGGCCGAGAAGTTATGGTCGATGCCAAACGAAGAGATCGAGCCCACGAACAACGCAGCACAGGAAGATTCAGCGTATGATCCGAACAAGTCCGAGCCCATTCCGGCGATATCTCCAACATTGTCTCCGACGTTGTCAGCGATCACCTGCACTTTTCGCAGAGAAACCGATCACTAAATTTAGGCCGAGGAAGACATATTTGATGCAAGATGTCGGTGTAGGAGATTACCGCCGGGTTGCGTGGGTCATCTTCAGGTATGTTTCTTTCGACTTTGCCGACGAGATCAGCACCGACGTCGGCGGCTTTGGTGTATATACCACCTCCAACTCTGCCAAAGAGCGCCATCGAGGAACCACCGAGGCCATAACCTGTGATGGACTCGTACAGACCTTCCCAATCATCTCCGTAGTATATCTTGAACAAATTGATGGATATGTACAGAACAAGTAGGCCATTGGCAGCAAGAAGGAAGCCCATGACAGCACCAGACCTGAAAGCCGCGATGAAAGCTCTTCCAACACCTTTTCTTGCTTCCACAGTTGTTCTGGCGTTAGCATAGGTTGCAATCTTCATGCCAAGAAAACCAGAGAGAACGGAGGTGAGCGAGCCGAGCAGGAAAGCCAGCGTGCTGAAAGCAGCATTTGCCACGGCCGGCTTGCACATTCTGTCCTTGCTGTAGGTGCAAGGTTGGCTGTCTTTGCTGAAGCCTTTTACTGATCCAAGGAAGAGAAAGATGATCACACCAAAGATCACCATGAAAACTGCAAGATACTTGTACTCGGTGATGAGGAACGATGTGGCCCCTGAAAGAACAGTGTCACTAGCTATATGTCAGAGACAATCTATGTACATATATGTGGTAGCAGTTTACTGCCAAAAGCTTCTGTGAAGATCTTAATCATGCGCAATGGAGAACCATAAATAAATCTTCTCTGATAATGAAAAGAAGAAAGAGATATTTACTAATAAGAGAGAAATCCAGCAGAGAATTCCCACAGATGTTGGAGATGTCGGCCGAATCATTCAAAAGCGAATTCAATTTTCACAAAAAAGGAGATACTTGCATTAAGCTTGAAGAGAAATCCAGAAATTACAAATAATCATCAAAGACAAGAAAAGGATTTGTTCTCAGCATTTGGACTTTTTACCTGCAGACTGGTGGAAGAAAAATATCAGCAAGCATTCTCTGCATAACCAGATGACCCTCCTATTGCTGATGAAATCAACATAAAGGATGGTGATGTGCCAAATCAAAGTATTCCAGATACTGTTCAAATTCTTATTTTAACTCTAACAAGAAAAAGAAATTATAGCACAAATATCTTTTGTTGCACTGATCTATCAAAAAGGTATGCACATATGTATCTTCAAAATGTGATTGTATGAGGCTAAATGGATCTATCACTGTAGTTCGAGCTATGTTGTTGAGATTCAGCAGATTGATGTCATCGTAACACATAGTATCAGAGCAGAGATAAACTGAAGAAGACAACAAAAAGGGAAGATTTTTTTCCTCCTCAGAATCAGAAAAACAATTTTATGATTATGCAATACAAATATTTACTGATGCTAAAGACAGATGAGAAACGGCATGCGATGAGAGGGAGTACTAAATGGTAAAGGATCCAAGTACAGAGACGACCACTAATGTTCCGTAACACTTGGGTACAAATAAGAGAAAGCTCAAGAAGAACAGAAAGATTAAGAGGAAGAGAAAGACTAAGTTCGTAGACATCCGTAGAAGGCCAAATCAATCAAATCGAGCACCATAATCTTCGCATGATCAACCATTCCACGCAATATCAGACTAAAAACAATCAGAGTTCAGAGTGATCACCAGAAAAGCGAGCTTAATCTATACATGTAGATAGAGAACCACAGAAAAATCACAACTTGCAGTCGAAAGCGGAAGCTTTTTTGAAGGAAAGGGCACCAAAGAGAAGAGGAAGCACACCCACCAATGGAGATGGCGCTCTGGATCTCCGCGCACTTGATGACGGAGGCCGGGCCATCGACGCCCTCCTCCTCGTCCTCCTCCGGCTCCCCCCCCACGAGGTTCTCGGGGCGCCCGTTCTTCTCCACCGGCCCGCTCGAGAGCCTGATTCGGGACACCAGGATCCACTGCAGCACCGCGAAGCCGATGCCGATCACCGCCGCGAGGGGTATCAGCACCTCCGTCAAGGCGTCTCCCAGCTTCGCCATCTTCCCTTTCCCCGACGACGACGACGACGACGAACACCAGAGATGGGAGGCAGAGGCTGACCGGCTGAGGGCTATTTAAAGGCGGTTTCCCGCAGAGCCCCACTCACCGCGTGCGGGTTTGGGAGGGAAAGAGAAGCCAAGTGGCTTCCAATTTTACTATTTGACTTAGAAATAATAAATTTCTTTGTATTTTCCTTTCATTACTATAGAAATAAGAAATTTGGATTATTTATAGATTTGTATATATTATTCTTATTATTATTCTTAAAAATAAGTGAAATATTTGGCCTAATAATAAGCTTTTATAAATCACTTTTATGGGGGCACAAATAAGAGACCTGTAAATTACGTAGCAATACAATAATCACAAGAATACTCTGATAAAAATAATAGAAAAAGTAAATTATTTCTAGATTTATATTAAAATACGATAAAGATTTGATGATATAAAGTTGTGAGGGAGATATGTGAATATTCATTCTTACCACTAAGATAATGAATGTTAGGGGTCTTCCAATTCTCATCTCCTACTTTAAATCCCAACATAGACATTGTAATGAAGAAAATAAAGATTAGAATGTGCTAATGCTATCTCGACGATATAGGAAGTGACATCATTCCTAAGGCAAAGAAAAGAGAGGTAAAGTTCACTTCATTTAGGTATCAATAAGCGAGTAAAATTACGACAACACATGATAAAAGTTTAGGTGCTTATTCCTGAAGAAAGATAAATAAAACAAGAGATAAGAATCTTTTGCTCTGAGCCTTTTGTGCACATTCCATACATTTGGTTTCATCGGTGAAGAACGAGAAAGAAGATGATAGATAGATAGATAGTATGTGAGAATGAGATTATGATTATAAACTTTGCAAGAAGAGTGAAGGAAAGAATTTTGCAAGTCAAATTATGATTATAAATTTACAAGTTTATAAATGTATTATATTTTTAAATTTTTAGGATTACTAATAATATGATCATTTTTTTTTTCTTAGTACTTGATGAGTTAGGTATAGGTTGTTCGATATGTGAAGAAGATTCGAATTCAACGGAGATCTAATTCCACACTTCATCACAAGAAGAGGTGTTGAGAAGATGATAAATTCGATAGATAACTCCGTAAAAATTTACATTCTTTCGTAAGTTCAAAGTAGCGAGGATTTATGCGGTTTAGAAATTATGAGAGCTACAATTTCTTAGAGAGTCTCAAGTATGCACTTGAGAGCCTCTTTTAATCTACCGGAATAACGGTTAAATCAAGGTAGAGATTAATGTTGGGAACGATTATATTACTCAATTCGGTCATTATTGGATCATGTGTCAAAACATCATGCATTGCTACTAAGAAGTAGTGACTCATATTAATGTAGGCATCACAAATTGTCATTTTTGCAAACTAGATCACCCCATCAGTGTCGAGTCATTATTCCCATAGGCCAAAGGCCTGACTAACACTTCGATCAGATAAGTGTAATGTGTAACTAAAATACTTACGTAAACTTCTTATATCATTTGTCTTCATTGTGTTTTGGCACTTCAAAATGGTAGGGAGGCGATATCTTATTTGATAGGCTACTGATCATGTTTCGTTATGTAACTATATATGTTGACTATAGATCGTGACCCGATTGACACGTTGATTATGTTGGTGAACAAATGTAACGTGGCTGATGAGTCAACACGGCTTGGTTCACGGATCGATGTCGGGAGCCTTTTGTCGACTGAACTGGATGACGAGGTGACCGTGCCCTCTTTCAAACTTCTCATGTTAGATCGGATGTGTGTAATGTATCATCAAAATGCTTTATGTTTCAAACTTCTCATGTCATTTGTCTCTATCATCATGTTTTGACACTTTAAAAGGGTCGAGAGACATGTCTTATTCAATAGGTTGTCGATCATGTCTCTCGTTATACAACTATATACATTGGCTACGGGTTGTGGCACATTGATCGAATGGGTGTGATGTAACATGAGAATACTTGTGTGTCAAACTTCTCATATCATTTATGTCTTCTACGACAGACTACTAATTATGTGTCTCATTGTGTAACTATATACGTTGGTCATAGGTTGATTAGTGGTTGCTCTAAGACCGAATATAATTGAATCATCTTCGAGCAACATTTCATTTGCTTTCATTCGGTAAGATTTGGACACTATTTTATGATAGAGTTAGTTGCATTACAAGGAAATTTAGTCAAACCATCATAGTAGGATGCTCGATGACCAGATTCGATTGTATCATCATAATCATAATATGATATCTCATGATCAGATTTGATTGCCTAGACTTAATTGTGCAATTTAGTGGAAGAGATGAGATTTAATTGTGAAAATTCAAGAGATATACAAAACATTAGTGATCTACACAATAATAAACAAAGCTGCAATCATCATGATCTTACCATAATGTTCACATCTACCTTAAATATTAGGCAGGGAATTAAACCAAAGCTTACAATGTAAGCATGATGGCTGCTGGTACATAACAGATGCATCTACTTTAATAAAGACACTCAACACTTGTTAAAACACAAGTATATATTAACAGATGCATCAACTTTAATAAAGATACCTTTGTAAGCTAACACTTGTTGAACATTATGATCATATTGGCTTTGGAGATAAGCATGTTGAGTTTGAAGAAATCATGACCTGTGAATAAAGATGGCCAAGTTGATGCCTATCATCTCTTTTGTGCTTTCATGCATGGCTCCCATCACAATAACAAATGTGAGTGATATTTGCTTTTCATTGTATTCCAATCAAAGGGCACTCAAAGAAATTATATTCCTATCTGAATATTCTGAGGATATAGAATCCATGAGCTAAAACAACTCTTCATGATAGCAGTCTTCATATAAATGCCAGCATAGCCAATTCTAGTCCTGGTTTCAAAATGCTAGTTTGTCGTGGAATGATAAGGTGTAATACATGAATTTGATGAAGAGGCATCTTCTTTGAAGACCCAGTTTATACCAGGAATCCAATGAGTGGTTTCGTATACAAGCATATCACTACACCTTCTTTATTGTAGTGAAAAGGAACTCCAACATTGTTCTGGCTCTTGTTTAGTCCTTTGGTGCTCCCTTTACATTCTTCTTTCATTCCTTCTTTAATCTTGGTACATATATTATATGAAAGTTTCTGTGAGATTATCTTCAGTGGCATCAATCATCTGCCAAACTGATGTCAAGTGTGGCAATCTTACTGCCCCAAATGTAGTGTGCTTTTGCCATCAAATGGTAGTGCTCCTTTGCATATAGTTCCCACCCACCTGGGGCATCACAATCTTTCTTAATTCTGTAGTGACACAATAGACACTGATCATTAATCCTATTCCAGTAACTCGATGATGTCCTGCTATTTCTTTTATTCTCTCTTTCTCCCCAGCGAGTGTAGTTTCAGTTGCCAGAATGATTCCACTTCATTTGAGATCAATGCAAATGGCTGAGAGCTTCTTTCTCTCTTCTTTTCTCTGCCACTTTCTCGGGTGCATCTGATGCCATGCATTGGAGTAACATGCTCACTTTGTTCCCAGATGAAACATGGTCAAGCACACACACAGCCTCCTTGATTTGAAAAGCATGGTTTGGAGGACGAGATAAACCATTCACCTGGCCGATCAGCTGACAATATATAGCAGTGTGTGTCATTTGGTCACTTTGGCAGGAAATGTTCAGCAGCATGCAAAGTTTGATCATGTTTGCTGACATAAATGCAGACAGACTCCAGCCATCTCTCTCCATGGTAAGATCTACTTGAGGTGATGACAAAGAATACAACCCTGGAAGCAATATATCAGAGCAGTTTGAGAAGCAATCCACCATGAGCTGCAAAGAAGGGGGCAAACATTAGTGACTCAACAGCCATCAGCTTGCTCAAGACGTTGAGAGATGGTCCAGATGTCTCCTTAAGAGGAACGCCAACAGTGGCACTGATCACAGCGGCTTTGTGAAGATCCCCTTTGGCCCTGGTGACCTGGCATGTTCACAAGCACCAGCCTGCACAGAGACTACCCATAAGATTGAGTTTGACATGAGTGTCTTGGATTCAACAACTGATGGTTAATTACCCATCAGATAGATACATATATACTAACTGCATTAGAAGATAACAAGACAGATGGACTCCATTAAACTTGATCTCTAAAATCCAATATTATTATCATTATGTCTTTGATATGTTCTCAAAGCCATGAAAGGAGGCGATAGATTTAACAAAAGATTAACACCATACCACTATGACGAATCAGATGGACTTTGTGGATCACAGTTTGCTAAAGAGCATTTTCATTTTGAACTTAACTTACCTCCATGTATTTCTTTGCATTATCCTAACTAAGCCCCACCTGCGTTCGAAGATGAGATAGCAACCTACAGAGAGATCGAATCGAATATCTACGAGTTCAACAGAAGATATATGAAGAGTAGGACACTTGACAATGGCTAATTAAGACAGTTGAAGCAAAAAAGCTCTAATGATATAGGTATAGTGTACCTGCACAGCAGAAACCAGTGAGCCAGCAAGAAGAACAAGTGTGCACCCCAAAGAAGTTCCCAACAACCAGAGGAGTGAGAATAACAAGTGCATCAGTTGGAATCATCTTCTTCAATGAGGCATCTGTGGACATCTTGTCATCTTGACACAGGAGGTTGCATACTCTGGCTTTGTCCTTCCATCTCTGAGTCCAGGATTTGTATTAAAGTGCCTTTGAACTTCCTCAACCGTCTTCAAGGCCGCTTTACCAACACCTGTCATGGCCATGGTAGAAAAGCAACAAGGCAGGAAGCATAGCTTCACAATTAATCCAATAAAGACTTTTGGACTTGACACATTAACAGCCATGATTCTGGCCCTGCTTATGAATGCACCAAATAAAGCAACAGAGAGGAGAGCTGCTGATCCAATAACAAGAAAATCCCCAACACAGACATTAGTGTGTCATATTGCACAAGTCGAGATGAATGATCAAAAACACCCATGTTAACTAAATTAAGTGCACAGGAAACCCAACAAGAAGGTTGGAGAAGGGAAAAAGTATGACCATACTTCATTGTTTAAATGGAATTAGATACAGATGTACCTTAACAATCGGAAAGATATGCTGCAAGAAGAGCAAGGAATAAGGCAGTACAGCTAAACACTTGCCAATAACAGTGTGTTTTTCAAGAATAACACAAGGGTATTATCTGAGTCAAATATACTTAGACACCACCTCCACAAGATTTCAGACCCAGAATCTCTTCAAGATGGAAATGAAAACCAATGATGAGGAAGATCCATGTTGGCTCCCTAATGATGTACCCAAGTACCTCAAATGATGAACTTATAAAAGGCATAATCACAAATAATCAAGCACTCATAGTTCTCCTCTTCTGTTTTTGACCATGTTGCTGCTACCCATTCTTGCATCTAAAGCATCCATTATCTCACAGAGTTTGCAGACCATTCCAGCCATCTCAGCAATTCCAGCAGCATTATCACTTGCCAGATAAGTGGCTATAGTGCCAAGCATTCCTGAGGCAGCAAGAGCAATACCATACATACCAGCCAAGCTGGAGCTTAAGATAGATAGTTATTCCGACAGCAAATATGGGAATGATCACAGGTTTTATCCCAAAACGAATCTAAATATAACATTAGTTGCCACACATGTTCTACAAGACTTTGCAACATCTTGCACAGGACTGCAAGATTCAACAAATTTTAGAAGTCAAGCATCATAGTGCTAATGAACATGCCTTCTGCAGTCAAAATGAGGGGAAGAAAACTATCTATTTGAGATGGATACAGGAGAAGAGTTGAAATGATAAGTTGCCACTTTAGTGAAGGTTGAACATCAGGCACAGTTTTAACATCAGAAGAGTCAGCAGCAAGGAGGGTGGGCACCATAACAACAATACCCAGTGAGTTCATAAGGAGAGGATACAACATTGCTGATATATCATGATTGATACCAAAGGGAAGATATTCAGGCAATAGATAATGCTGCACAAGAGGATTCAGCATAAGATGCAAAAAGATCAGAACCCACTACAGCAGTATCTACCTCAGTATCGCTGACATGTGATTATTTGCATGATTTCATAAAATTCACATTAATATAAGGATGACAACCATACGAAAGTTGACATGAGTGACTAGGATAAATAAAGGTCTCTTTTAAAACAAATTACCACAGGGTTTCTTGGCAAACTGCAAGTATATTCCTTTCTACTTTTCCAACAAGAAAAGCACCAACATCTGCTGCTTTTGTATATATACCTCCTCCAACTCTTCCAAAAAGTGGCATTAAAGAACCACCAAAATCATAGCCTGTCATTGACTCATAGAGGCCTTCCCAATCATCTCCACAGTTTAGGCCAACTAGAATGATAGAAATGTAGAGAACAAACAGACCATTGGCAGCTTTAAGAAAACCCATCACAGCACCAGACCTAAAAGCTGTAACAATAGTCATTCCAACACCTTTTCTGGCTTCCAAAGTTGTCCTAGCATTAGCCAAAGTCGCAATCTTCATTCCAAGAAAACCAGAATAAAAAGAAGTGCTCCGATCAGGATGGATACTGTACCGAAAACAGCATTTGACAAGGCTAGCTTGCAAAATTTTTCTTCACTGTCTTTATTGAAGCCTTCGACTGATCCAAGGAAGAGAACGATACCAACACCACAAAACACCATGAAAATACCAAGATACTTGTACTTGGTAAACAGAAAAGATGTTGCCCCTGATAGTAAAAGTTTGCCCAGTAAAATCATATATTTACTGAAGATAATCCTTACAAATCTTACAATGAAAGAACAAACGAAAAAGAAAATGTAGCACGATGGGCAATAAGGAGTGAGTGCGAAGACTATTATGCAACAAAGAGAAGCACATTAACAAGAGTAGCAAAAAATCTGATCCATAGAACACAACGTAATTTTCCTTGTGCATTTAAAGCAAGGCATATTCGCACTTGGATTCTCTACTTCACACTACAACGACTCCACCATGTGATCTATGGCCATCATGCTTCAAACTGGATTGGCAATTTCAAGATCAAAACCAAGGCCTTAAATGGAAGAAGTTCTTTCTCAATAGAGAAATGTTGAATCCCTCTTATTTTCACAATTCAATCCAATATATAAGCCAACCTGATAACCACGATAGAATGAGTTTCTAAGTCGTGGTGCAATATACTTCAGACCAAATTACTATTATCAGACTCATATAACCCGTGGCACGAAATGGCATGCTCAGGTTACTTGTAGAAGAACATCTGAGCTTATAAGGTGTAGAATAGGTGAATCATAATGATTACTAATAACAGTTATTAACATCGTAATCTCGGATGCCGATGTTACTAATAACAGGTTCATCTAATCTTACATTCCAATGCGGAACTAATCGGGGCATCACATCTAGTATTACTAAAAGCCAAGCCAAGAACTAATCGGATGTTGATGAACTAATGCGTTGTGGCTGATGAGTCAGCACGGCCTGGTCCACGGGTCGATGTCGGGAGTCTTCGGTCGGCTGAGCTAGTTGCCGAGGTCGATCATGCCCTTAAGACGGGGTGCTAGCGCCGGAATGTTGGTTGGCGTCCCTCGGTCGGGACGATCGTGCCTCGGGGGTGTCTGCTCTCTTGGATGGAAAGCCCTGAGTGTCGGTCGGGAAGTCGGATCCATCCGGAGGAAGACGCCTCTCGATCGGGATGGTGGCGCCTCAAGGGGGGTGGCCGCTCTCCTACACGAAAGGCCCTCCTTCTAGCGTCAAAAATGTTGATGAACTGAT